GTCACACTGTTCTTAAACACACTGTTCTTAGTTCTGTTCTTAAAACACTGGACAGGTCATGCATGACTCCCTTTACTCTGAAAGCCTTTAGCGGTCCCTCTGTAGAATAGGGTTCAGCAGATTCTGTTGCACGGCATTCAAAGTTCTCCCCCTTGGGGCCCGTTTTTCCCTCTAGACTTGGTGTCTCTTATGTCCCATAGGCTTCCAGGCTGGTGGGCTAAAGTTGGTTATCACTCTCTGGACAGATCGTGCTCATACTATTGTGTGAGCCACAAATACTATCCTTCCCCTTGAGGTTCAGCTATGATTAAACTCAAGCACTACCTTCTTTGTGAGGTCTTTTCCTCAAGTCCAAAACAATTCGTGTTTGTGTTTGTGTGCTTTGCCCATCCTGGTCCTACAGAACCTCCCTGCTCCACCCCATCCCCCCACCCCGCCCCGCATTTTGTAAATTTTTTTTTGCATGTCTCTTTTACTTACAAAATTAAAGACTCTTAAGAGCAGGATTTTTCTTTCTTGCATTTCTCTGTCCCTGTACATCACAAAGTACATGTTCCAGCTTCAGATTAGCATTAGGGCACTGGATACTTTAATTAAGTGGGGTGAATAGGGCAATCATTTCTCCCATGTGTGAAAGTTATCAGACATAGTTATGATATGAACATTACCAGAGGCGTCAACTCCAAATGCTTTTTTAGGAAAAGAAAACAGAAGAGTTTTAAGATATAACTGTTTTTCAAATTAGTCTTTTTCTTGGATTTTTTAAATAATATGCTATGACTTTCTGGATCTGGGCACATGTTTGGGTTTTTATATAAAACCTCTTTGTTCTTAACACTAAGAGTGTATTACCATATATTCTGCCTTTTCAAAGGTGGTTACCATCATCCCTCACCAATATAAAGATACATTCTATTTTTTACAACTACTTAGTAAGAGCTATTTGGCTCATTCTTTGTGTATGTAATAAAAATCTATGAGTTCCATCAATGATATCAATGATTTTTTTAGTAGACAAGAGTTATTTCCTTATCTAAAAGTGTCTACAAGTTTGTATCCAATACAGTTTTTCAACAGAATGACTTTGGATGTCGATCACTGAAGATTGGCAGGCATCAATTATAAATGTTTTAAAAGACTCTATTCTAATACACCTATATAATTTTTTAATTTTAATACTCATCATCTTGTTATTTCTGTTCTTTTCCTTGAAAATATTACTTATGACACTAGCTGTTTATAGATACTCAAAGGTCTTAAAGTTGTATAATTTAAAAACTCATAGTGTTCATTTACAAATGGATATACTTTGTGCATATGTATTCATAATAAAGCTTATGAGCGTACTGCAATCATCAATTATAGTGAAGGGCTGTCTAATACATAAAATGGATTAAGTCCATGCTAGAGAAAAAGCATCGAAATAGAGCTATCACTGTACCCTACACACACCCACAGGAAACCACCTGAGTAAACTTCAAATGCCATATTTTTAGGGATTTGTTGGCTACATTAGATAGCTGTACCCACTGATGAATAACTGAGATAATTTTTTTATGCATTTATTTTATCCATGTCATTAACACACCAAATAATATGTTTCACATTTTTAAAAACACTCTGGCTGTAAAAGCAGCGCCTCAGGAGACCATAATCCCCAAGCATACCATGATCTGTATTATTCCTTTAATTATGTTGTAATGCTGTCTTTATCTTGTCTTTAAATTTTCCACTTTCCCACTCTATGATTCTTTCACATTTCCTTTTATTTTACAATCCTGTTTTCTATACTTTAGAAGTTAAATGCTTCATAAGACTTAATACAAAGAACTGAGAAAATATAAATAGACCAAACAACAACTTTGATGTGCAGTGTGAGCTTTTCTACTAATTTTAGGGCTCTGGGGAAAGTTAGTGTTCTCAAGCTCTAAAATGTTTATAGCGAAGACTGCTTGCTCTCAGTGGGAGCTGACCTAAAAACTAGCATCAGATATTCTACACTCATCAAGAGGAGTTCCCAGCCCTGGAAGGGTCCAAAATCTTTGAGATAAAGAAACGGGTACTTCTCTATTGGATGTTCCATGCATGATCCCATATCTCCACAACTTGTGATTTCCTGCAGATCACCCTGTGTAAATGTGCATAATATTTCTTGAAGAATTGTGAATTGAGTGACTATTAGGTGATAGAGAAAACTGGATGAGCACATTTTGAAACAGTTGGTTAATGTCCAATTGATACATTGTGTATTGTATTGGAAATTCTCTGTTACAGAATTATTAGTATTGCTTATTATATAATGCCAGTTCTGATGTTGGGAGCAGAATTACCTACATTTGTTAATTTTGTTATGTTCTTGTAAACTTTTTTAGGGGAGAGACCAGGGGATATGTTTTACTTTGGTTGATTCTGTTAACTTTTCTGTTACTTTTCATCCTTGTAATGGGATTTGGAATTGAGGCCCTAGATTTTAAAGGTTGTTTGTTGTTGTTTTTTTGACAATGAGACACTGATAAAATATTACCTTGAAAATATAATTGGATGATTTTGAGTTGACTTACTATATAATTATAGATGTAGAGAAACAAGTGTTAGTCTTTGTCTATACTGTTCCCTTTAGAATCAAAGAAACAGATGATTATTCAAGTAGATCAATGACCTGATCCAAGCCACACTTAGTGGTAGAACCTCAATTCTAACTCTAATCTTGCATTTCCCAATTTGCTGGTTTTTTTTTTTTTTTTTCTTCTCCCCTTCTCTCCTTTTCTCACATGTATTTTTTTCAATAAGTATTTGTTGAGCTCTTGAACCATCCTAGGCATTGACATTAATGGCAGTGGTCAAAATAGATAAAATTCCTTGCCTTCATGAGTTTATACTGTAGTTTAATTCTGTTCTTTCCACATCATAGGGTTTTTATTTCTCCAAGATACTGAAAATATGAATTATTCAAATTTTAAAATTTTGATAGAAGTGTGGTGAAGATTTTAATTTCATCAGTTAGGTAAAATAAAATATGTAGCAGGCATTTGACTGCTTCCATTAAAAATAGCAAGAGAATTTATTTATAGAGTATATTTTACCTTTTGATGGTGCATTTATCATCAATGAATATTTACTTACTATTTCATAAGTTTATGTACATATTTTATTAATTTAGTCTTATTAAATAGTATAAGGAAAGACATCTGTAAAAGTAGTTTGCTATTTTTAAATTGGGCAGATTCATTAGAGAAAAATTTGGAAAACATAGAAAGAAGAAAAACAATAAACACATCATTTGAAGCCAATAACTGTAATTACTTAAATGCATTTTCTTTTAGTCTTTTATCCCTTTTGATTTTTAACACAATTTATTATCAATTGACAGATTAATAGTAACATAATATACTATATAGAACAACATAGAATAATAAAATACAATATACTTTGGTTCTATCAAGAATATTTTTCTTTAAGAAAATAAGAGGTAGACATTTCATTGACAGTTCACTTAGTCTTGGGGTTTCACTTTCGTTTTTACGTATTTTATTATAGCTGTGACAATCATATTCTTCTTTGTGTCTTTTACTTATTTGACATTAGAAGATAAGCATTTCTTTTGCATTTTTCAAAAAGTAGTTTTAACTACTGTATGAATCGATAATAGGTAGATGGATAAATTTCCATTGTGGGGCACTTATTTATTTATTTATGCCAATTTGGGGACATGGGATAGGGACAGGGGACAGAGGGACTGAGTACAGAAGATAGGGGACAGGGACAGGGGACAGAAGACAGGAAAGGGACAGAGGACAGAGGTCAAGGAACAGAGGATAGTGAATATTATATGTGTTGGTTCCAATTCTTGATCAGTTCCCAGAAGTGGAATAATTAAGTCAAAGGCATTGATTATTATTATAGTTATCATACGTGAAAATCAAATGGGCAGTTGAAAATTAATGGGCACTTCTAAATGGGTCAGAAGTTGCATTATGAGAGATAATTTGAGAGCTGATCACAGAAATGAAACAGAAAGAAATATAACCCTTTTTCTATTTCTTCGAAGAAAAACCCAGTATAGAAAGAGTAACAATAATGACAGAGGAAAAGAAACAAGAGGCAGAGAAATAAGCCAGGTAGAAAACGACAAACATCACATGATCTCCCTCATAGGCAGAACCTAAGAACATAATAAACTGATGAACAAACTAGATTCAGTTACATACAAGCGTGGAGCAGACCAACAAATATCAGAGGAAAGGTGTGTGGGGTGGAGATTAACCAAGGAATTTATACGCATAACCCGTGGGCACAGATAATAGTGTGGTGAAGGCCTGGGGAGGGGAGTGAGTGCGGGGTGGAGGGGCCGATGGAGAAAAAAGGGGGCGTCTGTAATACTTTCAACAAGAAAGATAAATAAAATATAAAATAAAATAAAATATAAAATAAAATAAAATAAAATAAAATAAAATAAAATAAAATAAAATAAAATAAAAGCCCTGTTATTTTCATAGCACCAGTGGCAGTTGTTGATCTCATCTGCTTAAAAAATAATACATGTAAATTATAAGACTAAATAAAACCCATCCATTATCCCATAAAGCAGAGAGAACCTACCATTTTAATGCATTTGCTTTGCATGTGTGTATTTCTGGCAGGTAGGATAAGGGGCATAAAATGAGGTCATACTGTGTATATGATTTAATATCCTGCTTTTATTATTTTACACAATGTGAACATTTCTGTTACTTTTTTCTCTTTTCTTTTTAAATATATTTTTATTGACTTCGGAGAGAGGAAAAGAGAGAGACAGACAGACAGACAGAAACATCAATTCAGGGTGAATACTTTACATATTATATAAAAGTGTTTAAATTGTTATATGTACAGATGGGGTCATACACTCAGGCTCGAAGTTATGCCAGGAGATCATTACCATATATGAAACTGAATAAAAATAGTGGTTAGGATAGGAACTAGTACAGATACTTGAATACGTATCTTATACTATTTTCCAGGGAAAGGTGATGTATTTGGAGACATCTTCTGGAAGGAAACCACCCTTGCTCATGCGTGTGCCAATGTCCGGGCACTGACGTACTGTGACCTCCACATCATCAAGCGGGAAGCCTTGCTCAAAGTCCTGGACTTCTATACGGCTTTTGCAAACTCCTTCTCAAGGAATCTCACTCTTACTTGCAACCTGAGGAAACGGGTATGTTGTCTGGATCCACTTTCCCCTATTAGGATCCGGAGGGGTTACTCTGTCACGGTCTATTAGTGGAGTGTTGCAAAAGTTATTTCATTTTGCAGAAGTACCTTCCCAGCAACATGAAGCGACATAATTTTCTTTCCCTTTCTTTATATTTTGTTTACCCTTTAAGGGGAGAAAAGCCCCTGTACATGGATAAAAATTTAAGTCATTACAATTTAAGATGCAAAATGAAAAGCAGATTTGAAAAACAAATGAGCTGTGCTATAATGTAATTAGTTAGTTCTTGGGGTTTATAACACTGCCATAAAATTAATATTAGTGTCTCTCTATTATGTGGATTTTTTAAAGGTGTTAAGTTTAATCAAACTGGTTTCCTATTTTATATCCCTGATTCACTTTAAATATTTTTTTATTGATGAGAGAGAGAAAGAGAGAGAGAGAGAGAAACATCGATTGTTGTTCCACTTATTTATGATTCATTGGTGCTTCTTGAATATGCCTTGACTGGAGTTCAAACCCACAACCTTGATGTTATCAGGAAAACACTCTAAGCAACTGAGTTACCTGGCCAGGGCCTGATTCACTTTAAAAAACCCTTTTAATTTAATAATCAATTTATGAAGCTTATTCCCCATTAATTCTTACCAAACACACTATCCAAAAAAATAATTAGCCACACTGACATATCCTACAAATCGGTATAGGGACCCTGAACTTTACACTGCTGCTGCAAATACAAGCTTCATTGCCATTTTCTTCTTTATTGATGACACAAATGTAATTTGCATAAAGAAATCCTGTAGCTCAGATTTATAGGTCCTTGGACATTGGGCACTTCTCTTTTATAACCAAGGATGAAATACACATTTAGGTAACTGCACAGAAGGAATTTCATATAAAATGATTGCCTGTCTACTACTGTTATTACGTATTTTGAAATAACAAGCCTTCCCTTCTACTACCCCATTAAACACAACCTTCCCTGTAGTTGACATGGAAGAAAAAAGTCAAGCCAAGAGACAAATTAACATCCCTGCTTTAGGAACAGAGACATGACCATAAGCAAATCAACGTAATTCCCTACTCAAGGCTCTAAGACGATAAGGCTGCAGGAGTCATATTCATACTAGCTGTGGCACAATATTTGTTAGCATGTATTTGAGTAGCATTTTCAGTCTGTATTTTTGTTAACAAATGTTATTGAGCATCCACAGCCTGCAAGATAAAATGTAAAGATCTGTTGAGAACACAAAGACTAAATACAGAGCCCTTCCGTCAAGGAGCATACAGTCAAGGATGAATACTATGTGAAACGCACAGTTGTGAGGCATTCGTACAAGTAATGGAAAGTCAAGGTAGTGATGAATGTGGAAGGGGCATGCCAAATATAAACTAAATATTGCTTATTCATGAGGGAGCTCTACCTTCTCCAATGACAAATTCCTTTTCTACAAGGCTCTGTTAGATATTTGAAGGTCTTATATTTTCAGTCTTCTTCAATCTAAATTTTACCAGTTTAGGAATCTTTTCCCTTACTGCAAGTTTACCAAAGCCCCTATCTGTGTTGCTACACTGCTGAGTACAGACCTTATCTGTCACTGTCCCCCTCAAAGCATGTTGTTTACACAGAATCTCATCCGATGTTTATAATATTCCTGTGAAAAGAAGGGCAGTTATTTTCTCTTCAAAACACACAAAGAAACTCGGGCCCAGAGGGATTCATATCAAATCACCAACTGATATATGTACAACGCAAGGTTTTAAAGAGAGATAATTAAAAGCTCACCAGTAGGAAATACATTTTGGTTCTTCTAAATGAATTCATCACAAAGTGCTCCTTTTTTTCTCTTTCTCACGTCTGAGCATGTGCACATTGCACACACTCACACACACAGGTTATAAGAGCTGAGTGCACATGCCCGCATGCCTGCCTCTTATAGAGGGAGAAGCTAGAGACAAAAACGCATGTAGTTTTTTGAAGGGGACCCGGGAATGGTGTGCCTGCCCCTGCAGGTGCCAGTGCATGAGTTACATCAAATGGCTTCTTCCCTTTATAATCTGTTCCCTGTTATAACCTGTGTTAGTTTAAAAAAAAGTTTTCAGCCTTTCTGAAATCAAGAGATAGTCCCAATGACTTGGCAAAATGTAGGGACAGGTGCATTGCCAGTCAGTGTCACTTTGTTATCAGAAAAAAAAAAGGATGGGGTGGGAATTGTGAGAAAATATCCTCTAGTGATTCATGAGAATAGCTATCATTTTGAGAGCCTATTTTATATCCATGCACTTCAACATATTTTACAGATAATAACTACTCTTATTAAATGCCACCCACAGACACCACCACCCTGCATAATCTCTATGTCATGGATAAAGGGGGTAAGTTCTGAGTGGGGCAGCTAGTTGCCAAATAAATTACAGCTCAGGGCCAGGATTTCAGTCCATCCCTGTCTGATCCTAAAACCCATATTCTGTGGCTGTCCCCAGTAGCTTTTCCTTGCCCAAGGAGCTGACATGTATTCTCCACAGCAGTATCTTACAGACACACTCTCAGCAATTTACAGTTTCTAGTTCACCCAGTCATGTGAAATCCATTCCCAGATGAGCTATTAATATTATTTTGTTCTTATTGCTGTTATTGTAAGCACTCTTGCAGTGAACATTTGTTGTGAATTGCATAATAAAACTATCCTTTGTGCTACTGATATCTCATAGCTTCCATAACCGTAATTAAGGGAATGCTCCCACTGAGTTGGGGGATCAGGCTTGGAACCTTGATTTGGAGCCGTCATTAGTTACAGATCTGGCCACGTGAGCAGATCAGTGGCAGAGTGTGAGGCCTGTGTAGTGTGCCAGTCTCGGTGGCTGCCAGAGGGAGGAATGTCACAGCGCTTTAAGCTGCCTGCCTTCATCCCCATTAAGGAAAACTAAGATTTTTTAAATGCAATTATAGCTCTCACTAAACATCCTTAAGCCCCTTTATATAAAATTCTAGAACTAAAACTGGCTATTTCATCTAATAACTAGAGCAGGGGTTGGCAAACTTTTTCTGTAAAAGGCCAGAAAGTAGATATTTCAGAATTTGAGTGCCATATAGTCTGTCTCTACTCAGCGTGGCCATGGCAGTGTGACCGCAGCTGTCTTAGCTTGGGCAGCCATAACGAAGTACCACTGACTGGGTGGCTTAAGGAACAAGAATTTATTTCTCTCAGCTTAACTCATTTAAGCTATCTTTTTCTGGAATGCCAAATGGTGATTATTAACATAAGGGCCACCCCCCATGTATAGGCCTGAGAAGGCAAGAAGCATGCTCAGCACAGGTGATATCTAAATTTTAAAGGACCCTAATCAGACTTTTAAAGTAATTTTTGCATTTCTGTATATTCTGCCTCATTGTTATACAGGGACATTTACCATTTGGGTAAAGGAGTTAATATAGCAGCACGGCTGCTGCACTTTGGAGAACCTGCTGATAAATTTGGCCCATGGCTGGCATCTGGGAACTTGAATTTCAAGAGGGTTCCCAACACTCTGATAAGAGAGGCTCACTGTGCCTGCACTGTTTATGCAAACACTGTGGTTTACTCTAAACACTTCCGAGGCTTGGTATGTGCCAGGCAGAAGATACCTATGTGACCAGCCTCCAGTAAAATGCCGGGCACCGTGTTCCTTGTGAGCATCCCTGGTAGAAGCTTTCCCAAGTGTTGTCACAACTTGCTGCTGAATGAATTAGGGAGAGGACCTTTGGGGACCTGTGCTTAGCTGCCCCTGAGTTGATGAGAAATTTGTATTCTCTGAGATCCTCAAATCTGCAGATATCTTGGTAATTTCACTATAACCTTTTTTCCCCCATAAAAGATGCTGAAACCTACTGACATTGTGTTTTATGAGTATAGAAGAAAGACGTATTTTAAAATTGGTGGGTATATTTGTCCATGAAGCTGTCAGGAATATTCCATTTTCCTGAAACCTAAAATAAATGCTACGTTAGCACTTTCAGCAACATTAAATATGGCTGGGATTTTTTATTATTTCTAAGTGTTTTCTTCACTTTCAAAATAGCAAGAACACATTTTCCTCTAGATTGACTCTTTAAATAGGCTGAGAGAGGAGTTTCGTTTGTTGTTCTGGTGAGACACTTTGATAAAGTGTGGCGCAGAAGGTATTGGCTGGCTCAGTATATGTTCAGTGTACAACCGTGATGCCCCTCCTACCTAACTGTGGGGTAATGGAAGTAAGAGGCCAAGTGCCTGCTCTCCAGGAGCCTGCAATCTAGTGAGAGAGCCTGGTGAATAAATCATGGTAGAGTCAGGTAAGCGCTATGAGAGAGTTACCCTCTGGGTGCCAAGGGCCCATCGTGGAGATGAATCTAGTCTATCCCAAGAGATAGGGAGGGATTCCAGGAGGTGATGCAACACTGGAGTTAGAATTTTATTTCAAACAGAGAAATATTCTAGAGCAAGGAAGCATCTCGTAGGTTGTCTAGTCCAGCTTATTTTCTTTAAGGATGAGAAAACTGAGACCCAGAGAACTGCATGATTTGCTCAAGTTCACTTAGCTAATTAGCGACAGAGGTGGGGTTGGAATCCAAATCCTTTGAATCCCATGCTGGCTGTATTTCTGCTGTTTAGCCCAGGTTAGAAGCCTTATGTAGAAGACCGTGAGTAAAATGCAGTACTGGATTGTGTTCATTTTTAGTAGGGAAGACGGAAGGTATATGGCATGAATTTGTATGTGATTTATAGTTTGATTTTAGTGTTTTTCACACTGTGATTCAGAATAAAACTAACAGTGGAACCAAAAAACAAACGATAGGTGGTGTTCTGAGTCCTGAACAGGACGCCCAGGCTCAGCATGAGCCATTGTATGTGGTGTGGCCACAGCAGGTATGTCACTTGCATTGGGAAGGATCTTGTTTTAGTAAAAGTCTATAACTTACATATCAGTGTTGTTCAAGTGGTGTTACTGAATATGGTAGACTCTTGCTTTGCTGATAATGCTGT